AGGAACGCTCCTGGACTAGGCAAGCTCCTAGACCAGGCAAGCTCCTAGACCAGGCAAGCTTCTGGACTAGGCAAGCTCCTGGACCAGGCAAGCTCCTGGACCAGGCAAGCTCTTGGACCAGGCAAGCTCCTAGTCCGGGCAAGCTCCTTGACCAGGCAAGCTCCTGGACAACGCAAGCTCATGGACCACGCAAGCTCTTGGACCAGGCACGCTCCTGGACCAGGCAAGCTCTTGGACCAGGCAGGCTTCTGGACCAAGCAAGCTCTTGGCACAGGAACGCTCCTGGACCAGGCAAGCTTGTGGACCAGGCAAACTCGTGGACCAGGAACGCTCCTGGACCAGGCAAGCTCCTAGACCAGGCAAGCTCCTAGACCAGGCAAGCTGCTGGACTAGGCAAGCTCCTGGACCAGGCAAGCTCCTGGACCAGGCAAGCTCTTGGACCAGGCAAGCTCCTAGACCAAGCAAGCTCCTTGACCAGGCAAGCTCCTGGACCACGCAAGCTCCTGGACCACGCAAGCTCTTGGACCAGGCACACTCCTGGACCAGGCAAGCTCTTGGACCAAGCAGGCTTCTGGACCAAGCAAGCTCTTGGCACAGGAACGCTCCAGGACGAGGCAAGCTTTTGGACCAGGCAAACTCGTGGACCAGGAACGCTCCTGGACCAGGCAAGCTCCTAGACCAGGCAAGCTCCTAGACCAGGCAAACTGCTGGACTAGGCAAGCTCCTAGACCAGGCAAGCTCCTAGACCAGGCAAGCTCTTGGACCAGGCAAGCTCCTCGACCAGGCAAGCTCCTTGACCAGGCAAGCTCTTGGACCACGCAAGCTCCTGGACCATGCAAGCTCTTGGACCAGGCAAGCTCCTGAACCAGGCACGCTCGTGGAACAGGCAAGCTCCTGGACCAGGCAAGCTTCTGGACCAGGCAAACTCGTGGACCAGGAACGCGCTTGGACCAAGCAAGGTCCTAGACAAGGCAAGCTCCTAGACCAGGCAAGCTGCTGGACTAGGCAAGCTCCTGGACCAGGCAAGCTTCTGGACCAGGCAAGCTCTTGGACGAGGCAAGCTCCTGGACCAGGCAAGCTCCTTGACCAGGCAAGCTCCTGGACCACGCAAGCTCCTGGACCACGCAAGCTCTTGGACCAGGCAGGCTTCTGGACCAAGCAAGCTCTTGGAACAGAAGGCAAGCTCCTAGACCAGGCAAGCTCCTTGACCAGGCAAGCTCCTGGACCAGGATAGCTCCTGGACCAGGCAAGCTCCTGGACCAGGCACGCTCCTGGACCATGCAAGCTCCTAGACCAGGCAAGCTCCTGGACCAGGCAAGCTTCATGACCAGGCACGCTCTTGGACCAGGCAAGCTCCTAGACCAGGCAAGCTCCTAGACTAGGCAAGCTCCTGGACCAGGCAAGCTCCTAGACCACGCAAGCTCTTGGACCAGGCAAGCTCTTGGACAAGGCAAGCTCCTGGACCAGGCAAGCTCCTGGACCAGGCAAGCTCCTCGACCACGCAAGCTCCTAGACCAGGCAAGCTCTTAACCCAGACACGCTCCGGGACCAGGCAAGCTCTTGGACCAGGCAGGCTTCTGGACCAAGCAAGCTCTTGGACCATGAAAGCTCCTGGACCAGGCAAGCTCTTGGACCAGGCACGCTCCTGGACCAGGCAAGCTCTTGGACCAGGCAAGCTCCTTGACCAGGCAAGCTCCTAGATCAGGCACGCTCCTGGACCAGGCAAGCTCCTAGACCAGGCAAGCTCCTGGACCACGCAAGCTCTTGGACCAGGCACGCTCTTGGACCAGGCAAGCTTGCCTTGTCCAAGAGCTTGCCTGGTCCAAGAGCTTGCGTGGTCTAGGAGCTTGCCTGGTCCAGGAGCTTGCCTAGTCTAGGAGCTTGCCTGGTCTAGGAGCTTGCCTGGTCCAAGAGCGTGCCTGGTCCGGAAGCTTGCCTAGTCCAGGAGCTTTCCTTGTCCAGGAGCTTTCATGGTCCGTTAGCTTGACTGGTCCAGGAGCTTGCCCGGTCCAGGAGCTTGTCTGGTCCAAGAGCTTGCGTGGTCGAGGAGCTTGCCTAGTCTAGGAGCTTGCCTGGTCCAGGAGCGTGCCTGGTACAGGAGCTTGCCAAGTCCAGGAGCTTGCAAGGTCAAGGAGCCTGCCTGGTCCAGGAGCTTGCCTCGTCTAGGAACTTGCCTGGTCCAGGAGCGTGCCCGGTCCAAGAGCTTGCTTGGTCCAGGAGCTTCCTTGGGCCGGGAGTTTGCCTGGTCCAAGATATTGCCTGGTCCGGGAGCTTGCCTTGTCCAGAAGCTTGCGTGGTCCAGGAGCTTGCCAGGTCCAGGAGCTTGCTTGGTCTAGATAACTGCCTGGTCGAAGAGCTTGCGTCGTCCAGGAGCTTGCCTGGTCCAGGAGCTTGCTTGGTCGAGAAGCGTGCCTGGTCCAAGAGCTTGCCTGGTCCAGGAGCGTGCTTGGTCCAAGAGCTTGCATGGTCTAGGAGCTTGCCTCGTCCAGGAGCTTGCCTGGTCAAGGAGCGTGCTTGGTCCATGAGGTTGCCTGTTCCAGGAGCGTGCCTAGGCTAGGAGCGTGCCTGGTCCACGAGCGTGCCTGGTCCAGGAGCTTGCGTGGTCCAAGAGCTTGCCTGGTCCAAGAGCGTGCCTGGTCCAAGAGCTTGCTTGGTCCAGGAGCTTGCTTGGTCCAGGAGCTTGCCTGGTCCAGGAGCCCGCCTGGTCCTCGAGCTTGCCTGGTCCAGGAGCTTGCGTGGTCCAGGAGCTTGCTTGGTCGAGAAGCCTGCCTGGTCCAAGAGCGTGCCTGGTCCAAGAGCTTGCCTGGTCTAGGAGCTTGCCTGGTCTAGGAGCTTGCCTGGTCCAGGAGCCTGCCTGGTCCACGAGCTTGCGTGTTCCACGAGCTTGCCCGGTCTAAGAGCTTGCGTGGTTTAGGAGCTTGCCTGGTCCAGGAGCTTGCCTGGTCCAGAGCGTGCCCGGTCCATGAGCTTGCCTGGTCCAGGAGTTTGCCTGGTCCAGGACCTTGCCTGGTCTAGGAGCTTGCCTGGTCCAAGAGCGTGCCTGGTCAACGAGCGTTCCTGGTCCAGGAGCTTGCGTGGTCCATGAGCTTGGCTGGACTAGGATCTTGCCTGGTCCAGGAGCTTGCCTTGTTCAGCAGCCTGCCCGGTCATGAAGCCTACCTGGTCCAAGAGCTTGCCTGGTCCAAGAGCGTGCCTGGTCCAAGAGCTTGCCTGGTCCAGGAGCTTGCCTGGTCTAGGAGCTTGCCTGGTCCAGGAGCGTGCCTGGTCTAGGAGCTTGCCAGGTCAAGGAGCTTGCCTGGTCCACGAGCTTGCCCGGTCCACGAGCTTGCCTGGTCCAGGAGCTTGCCTGGTCCAGGAGCTTGCCTGGTCTAGGATCTTGCCTGGTCCAGGACCGTGCCTGGTCCACGAGGTTGCATGGTCCGGGAGCTTGGCTGGTCCAGGAGCTTGCCTGGTCCAAGAGCTTGCCTGGTCCAAGAGCTTTCGTGGTTTAGGAGCATGCCCTGTCCAAGAGCTTGGCTGGTCCAAGAGCATGGCTGGTCCACGAGCTTGCCTGGTCTAGGAGCTTGCCTGGTCCAGGACCTTGCCTGGTCTAGGAGCTTGCCTGGTCCAGGAGCGTGCCTGGTCGAGGAGCTTGCCTGATCCAGGAGCTTGCCTGGTCTAGGAGCTTGCCTCGTCCAAGATCTTGCCTGGTCTAGGAGCTTGCCAGGTCCAGGAGCGTTCGTGGTCCAGGAGCTTGCCTGGTCTAGGAGCTTGCCTGGTCCAGGAGCTTGCCTCGTCCAAGATCTTGCCTGGTCCAGGAGCGTGCCTGGTCCACGAGTTTGCGTGGACCAGGAGCTTGCCTGGTCCAAGAGCTTGCCCGGTCTAGGAGCTTGCCGGGTCCAGGAGCGTGCCTGGTCCAGGAGCTTGCCTAGTCCAGGAGCTTGCCTGGTCAAAGAGCTTGCCTGGTCCAGGAGCTTTGCCTGGTCCAGGAGCTTGCCTGTTCCAGGAGCGTGCCTGGTCCAGGAGCCTGCCCTGTCCTGGAGCTTTCTTGCTCCGTTAGCTTGCCTTGGACCAGGCAAGCTCCAGGATCAGGCAAGCTCCAGGACCAGGCAAGCTCCTGGACCAGGCAAGCTCCTAGACGAGGCAAGCTTATGGACTAGGCACTCTCCTGGACCAGACACATTCCAGGACCAGGCACGTTCCTAGACGAGGCCAGCTCCTGAACCAGGCAAGCTCCTTGACGAGGCAAGCTCTTGGACTAGGCAAGCTTGTGGACTAGGCAAGCTCTTGGACCAGGCAAGCTCTTGGACCAGGCAAGCTCTTGGACCAGGCAAGCTCGTGGACCAGGCAAGCTCCTTGACCAGGCACGCTCCTAGACGAGGCAAGCTCATGGACTAGGCACGCTCCTAGACAAGACACATTCCAAGACCAGGCACGCTCCAGGACCAGGCCAGCTCCTGGACCAGGCAAGCTCCTTGATGAGGCAAGCTCCTGGACCAGGCAAGCTCTTGGTCCCGGCATGCACCTGGACCTGACAAGCTCTTGTACCTGGCAAGCTCTTGGACCAGTGAAGCTCCAGGACCAGGCAAGCTCTTCGACCAGGCAAGCTCCTCGACCAGGGAAGCTCCTCGACCAAGGACGCTCCTGGACCAGACAAGCTCTTGGACAAGGCTAGCTCGTGGACCAGGCAAGCACCTGGACCAGGCACGCTCCTGGACCAGGCAAGCTCCTGGACCAGGCACGCTCCTGGACCAGGCAAGCTCCTGGACCAGGCAAGCTCATGGACCAGGCGCATTTTAGCTTCAGGCACGCTTTTGGACCAGGCCAGCTCCTGGTCCAGGCAAGCTCCTTGACGAGGCAACCTCCTCGACCAGGCAAGCTCTTAGACTAGGCATGCTACTGGACTAGGCAAGCTTGGACCGAGCAAGCTCTTGGACCAAGCAAGCTCCTGGACCAGGCAAGCTCTTGGACAAGGCAAGCTTTTGGATCAGGCAAGCTCCTTGTCCAAGCAAGCTCCTAGATCAGGCACGCTCCTGGACCAGGAAAGCTCTTGGACCAGGCAAGCTCCTTGATAAGGCAAGCTCTTCGACGAGGCAAGCTCCTGGACCAGGTAAGCTCCTCGACCACGCAAGCTCTTGGACGAGGCAAGCTCCTGGACCAGGCAAGCTCCTAGACAAGGCAAGCTCCTGGACCAGGCAAGCTTCTGGACCAAGCAAGCTCCTGGACCAGGCAAGCTCCTGGATCACGCAAGCCCATGGACCAGGCACGCTCCTCGACCACGCAAGCTCCACGTCGACGTCCACGTCCACGTCCACGTCCACGTCCACATCCATGTCCACGTCCATGTCCACTTCCACGTCCACGTCCACATCCACGTCCATGTCCACGTCCACCTCCACGTCCACGACCATGTCCACGTCCACGTCCACGTCCACGTCCATGTCAACGTCCAAGTCCTCCACGTCCACGACCACGTCCACGTCCACGTCAACGTCCACGTCCACGACCACGTCTACGTCCACGTCCACGTCCACGTCCTCCACGTCCACGTCCACGTCCTCCACGTCCTCCACGTCCACATCCTCCACGTCCACGTCCATATACACGTCCATGACCACGTCCACGTCCACGTCAACGACCACGACCACATCTATGTCCAAGTCCACATCTATGTCCACGTCAACGTCCACGTCTATGTCCACGTCCACGTCCACGTCCATGACCACGTCCATGTCCACGTCAACGTCCATGTCCACGTCCACGTCCACGTCCACGACCATGTCCATGTCCACGTCCATGTCCACGTCCATGTCCATGTCCACGACCATGTCCATGTCCACGACCATGTCCATGTCCACGTCCACGTCCACGACCATGTCCATGTCCACGACCATGTCCATGTCCACGTCCATGTCCATGTCCACGACCATGTCCATGTCTACGTCCACGTCCACGTCCATGTCCACGTCCACGTCCACGTCCACGTCCACGTCCATGTCCACGTCCACGTCCACGTCCACGTCCACGTCCACGTCCACGTCCACGTCCACGTCCATGACCACGTCCACGTCCACCTCCACGTCCACGTCCACGTCCATGTCCACGTCCACGTCCACGTCCACGTCCACGACCATGTCCACGTCCACGTCCACGTCCACGTCCATGTCCACGTCCACGTCCACGTTCACGTGTACGTCCATGTCCACGTCCACGTCCACGTCCACATCCACGTCCACGTTCACTTCCACGTCCTTGTCCTCCTCCTCGTCCACGTCCACGTCCACGTCCACGTCAACGTCCACGTCCACGTCCATGTCCTCCACGTCCACGTCCACGTCCACGTCCACGTCCACGTGCACGTCAACGTCCAGGTCCAGGTCCAGGTCCACGTCCACGTCCACGTCCACGTCCACGTCCACGTCCAGTTCCACGTCCATGTCCACGTCCACGTCCACGTCCACGTCCACGTCCACGTCCATGTCCACGTCCACGTCCACGTCCACGTCAACGTCCACGTCCACGTCCACGTCCATGTCCTCCACGTCCACGTCCACGTCCACGTGCACGTCAACGTCCAGGTCCAGGTCCACGTCCACGTCAACGTCCACGTCCACGTCCACGTCCACGTCCTCGTCCACGTCCTCGTCCACGTCCACGTCCACGTCCATGTCCACGTCCACGTCCTCGTCCTCGTCCACGTCCACGTCCACGTCCACGTCCATGTCCTCCACGTCCACGTCCACGTCCAGGTCCACGTCCACGTCCACGTCCACGTCTAGGTCCACGTCCACGTGCACGTCAACGTCCAGGTCCACGTCCACATCCACGTCCAGGTCCACCTCCACGTGCACGTCCATGTCGAGGTCCACGTCCACGTCCACGTCCACGTCCACGTCCACGTCCATGTCCACGTCCACGTCCACGTCCACGTCAACGTCCACGTCCACGTCCACGTCCATGTCCTCCACGTCCACGTCCATGTCCACGTCCACGTGCACGTCAACGTCCAGGTCCAGGTCCAGGTCCACGTCCACGTCCACGTCCACGTCCACGTCCATTTCTACGTCCACGTCCACGTCCACGTCCATGTCCTCCACGTCCACGTCCACGTCCTCGTCCAGATCCACGTCAACGTCCAGGTCCACGTCCACGTCGACGTCCACGTCCACGTCCACGTCCGCGTCAACGTCCACGTCCACGTCCACGTCCATTTCTACGTCCACGTCCACGTCCACGTCCACGTCCACGTCCATGTCCTCCACGTCCAGGTCCACGTGCCATCGACGTCCAGGTCCACGTCCACGTCCACGTCCACGTCCACGTCCACGTCCACGTCCACGTCCATGTCCACGTCCACGTCCACGTCCACGTCCTCCACGTCCACGTCCACGTCCACGCGCACGTCAACGTCCAGGTCCACGTCCACGTCAACATCCAGGTCCACGTCCACGTCCACCTCCATTTCTACGTCCACGTCCACGTCCACGTCCACGTCGACGTCCACGTCCACGTCCACGTCCATTTCCACGTCCACGTCCACGTCCACGTCCACGTCCACGTCCATGTCCTCCACGTCCACGTCCACGTCCATGTCCACGTCCACGTCCATGTCCACGTCCACGTCCACGTCCATGTCCACGTCCACGTCCACGTCCACGTCCATGTCCACGTCCACGTCCACGTCCACGTCCATGTCCACGTCCACGTCCATGTCCACGTCCACGTCCAAGTCCACGTCCATGTCCACGTCCATGTCCACGTATACGTCCACGTCCACGTCCACGTCCACGTCCATGTCCACGTCCACGTCCATGTCCACGTCCACGTCCACGTCCACGTCCATGTCCACGTCCATGTCCACGTCCACGTCCACGTCCACGTCCACGTCCATGTCCACGTCCACGTCCACGTCCATGTCCACGTCCACGTCCACGTCCACGTCCATGTCCACGTCCACGTCCACGTCCACGTCCATGTCCACGTCCATGTCCACGTCCACGTCCAAGTCCACGTCCATGTCCACGTCCACGTCCACGTCCACGTCCATGTCCACGTCCACGTCCACGTCCACGTCCAGGTCCATTTCTACGTCCACGTCCACGTCCATTTCTACGTCCACGTCCACGTCCACGTCCACGTCCACGTCCACGTCCACGTCTACGTCCACGTCCATGTCCACGTCCACGTCCACGTCCACGTCCATTTCTACGTCCACGTCCACGTCCACGTCCATGTCCACGTCCATGTCCACGTCCACGTCCACGTCCATGTCCACGTCTACGTCCACGTCCACGTCCACGTCTACGTCCACGTCCATGTCCACGTCCACGTCCACGTCCATTTCTACGTCCACGTCCATGTCCACGTCCACGTCCATGTCCACGTCCATGTCCACGTCCATGTGCACGTCCACGGCCACGTCCATTTCTACGTCCTTGTCCATGTCCACGTCCACCTCCACGTCCACGTCCACGTCCACGTCCATTTCCACGTCCACGTCCACGTCCACGTCCACGTCCATGTCCAGGTCCACGTCCACGTCCACGTCCACGTCCACGTCCACGTCCACGTCTACGTCCACGTCCACGTCCACGTCCACGTCCACGTCTACGTCCACGTCCACGTCCACGTCCACGTCCATGTCCACGTCCACGTCCACGTCCACGTCCACGTCCACGTCTCGTCCACGTCCAAGTCCACGTCCACGTCCACGTCTCGTCCACGTCCAAGTCCACGTCCACGTCCAAGTCCACGTCCATGTCCACGTCCACGTCCACGTCCACGTCCACGTCCACGTCCACGTCCATGTCCACGTCCATGTCCACGTCCACGTCTCGTCCATGTCCACGTCCATGTCCACGTCCACGTCTCGTCCACGTCCAAGTCCACGTCCACGTCCAAGTCCACGTCCATGTCCACGTCCACGTCCACGTCCACGTCCACGTCCACGTCCATGTCCACGTCCACGTCCACGTCCACGTCCATGTCCACGTCCACGTCCATGTCCACGTCCACGTCCACGTCCACGTCCACGTCCACGTCCATGTCCACGTCCACGTCTACGTCTACGTCCATGTCCACGTCCACGTCCACGTCCACGTCCAAGTCCACGTCCACGTCTACATCCACGTCCACGTCCACGTCTACGTCCACGTCCATGTCCACGTCCACGTCCACGTCCACGTCCACGTCCATGTCCACGTCCACGTCTACGTCTACGTCCATGTCCACGTCCATGTCCACGTCCACGTCCATGTCCACGTCCACGTCTACATCCACGTCCACGTCCACGTCTACGTCCACGTCCATGTCCACGTCCACGTCCATGTCCATTTCTACGTCCACGTCCATGTCCACGTCCACGTCCATGTCCACGTCCACGTCCACGTCCACGTCCACGTCCACGTCCATGTCCCGTCCACGTCCACGTCCATGTGCACGTCCACGTCCACGTCCATTTCTACGTCCTTGTCCATGTCCACGTCCACCTCCACGTCCACGTCCACGTCCACGTCCATTTCCAAGTCCACGTCCACGTCCACGTCCACGTCCACGTCCACGTCCACGTCCACGTCCACGTCCAGGTCCACGTCCACGTCCACGTCCACGTCCACGTCCACGTCCATGTCCACGTCCACGTCTACGTCTACGTCCATGTCCACGTCCATGTCCACATCCACGTCCACGTCCACGTCCATGTCCACGTCCACGTCCACGTCCACGTCTACGTCCATGTCCACGTCCATGTCCACGTCCACGTCCATGTCCACGTCCACGTCTACATCCACGTCCACGTCCACGTCTACGTCCACGTCCATGTCCACGTCCACGTCCATGTCCATTTCTACGTCCACGTCCATGTCCACGTCCACGTCCATGTCCACGTCCACGTCCACGTCCACGTCCACATCCACGTCCATGTCCACGTCCACGTCCACGTCCATGTGCACGTCCACGTCCACGTCCATTTCTACGTCCTTGTCCATGTCCACGTCCACCTCCACGTCCACGTCCACGTCCATTTCCAGGTCCACGTCCACGTCCACGTCCATGTCCACGTCCACGTCCACGTCCACGTCCACGTCCATGTCCACGTCCACGTCCACGTCCACGTCCACGTCCACGTCAACGTCCACGTCCACGTCCACGTCCATGTCCTCCACGTCCACGTCCATGTCCACGTCCACGTGCACGTCAACGTCCAGGTCCAGGTCCAGGTCCACGTCCACGTCCACGTCCACGTCCACGTCCATTTCTATGTCCACGTCTACGTCCACGTCCACGTCCTCGTCCAGATCCACGTCAACGTCCAGGTCCACGTCCACGTCGACGTCCACGTCTACGTCCACGTCCGCGTCAACGTCCACGTCCACGTCCACGTCCATTTCTACGTCCACGTCCACGTCCACGTCCACGTCCATGTCCTCCACGTCCACCTCCACGTCCAGGTCCACGTGCCATCGACGTCCAGGTCCACGTCCACGTCCACGTCCACATCCACGTCCACGTCCACGTCCACGTCCACGTCCATGTCCACGTCCACGTCCACGTCCACGTCTTCCACGTCCACGTCCACGTACACGCGCACGTCAACGTCCAGGTCCACGTCCACGTCAACGTCCAGATCCACGTCCACGTCCACCTCCATTTCTACGTCCACGTCTACGTCCACGTCCACGTCCACGTCCACGTCCACGTCCACGTCCACGTCCACGTCCACGTCTAGTCCACGTCCACGTCCATATCCACGTCCACGTCCACGTCCACGTCCATGTCCACGTCCACGTCCATGTCCACGTCTACGTCCACGTCCACGTCCACGTCCACGTCCACGTCCATGTCCACGTCCACGTCCACGTCCACGTCCACGTCCTTGTCCACGTCCACGTCCACGTCCATGTCCACGTCCACGTCCACGTCCACGTCCACGTCCAAGTCCACGTCCACGTCCACGTCCAGGTCCATGTCCACGTCAGTCGACGTCCACGTCCATGTCCACGTCGTCCACGTCCACGTCCACGTCCACGTCCACGTCTACGTCCATGTCCACGTCCACGTCCATGTCCACGTCCACGTCCACGTCCACGTCCACGTCCATGTCCACGTCCACGTCCACGTCCACGTCCACGTCCATGTCCACGTCCATGTCCACGTCCATGTCCACGTCACGTCCATGTCCACGTCCACGTCCACGTGTCCACGTCCACGTCCACGTCCACGTCCATGTCCACGTCCACGTCCACGTCCACGTCCATGTCCACGTCCATGTCCACGTCCAAGTCCAAGTCCACGTCCATGTCCACGTCCACGTCCACGTCCACGTCCACGTCCATGTCCACGTCCACGTCCACGTCCATGTCCACGTCCACGTCCATGTCCATGTCCATGTCCACGTCCACGTCCACGTCCATGTCCATTTCTACGTCCACGTCCACGTCCATTTCTACGTCCACGTCCACGTCCACGTCCACGTCCACGTCTACGTCCACGTCCATGTCCACGTCCACGTCCACGTCCACGTCCATTTCTACGTCCACGTCCACGTCCACGTCCATGTCCACGTCCATGTCCACGTCCACGTCCACGTCCATGTCCACGTCTACGTCCACGTCCACGTCCACGTCTACGTCCACGTCCATGTCCACGTCCACGTCCACGTCCATTTCTACGTCCACGTCCATGTCCACGTCCACGTCCATGTCCACGTGCATGTCCACGTCCATGTGCACGTCCACGTCCACGTCCATTTCTACGTCCACGTCCATTTCCACGTCCATGTCCACGTTCACCTCCACGTCCACGTCCACGTCCACGTCCACGTCCATTTCCACGTCCACGTCCACGTCCACGTCCACGTCGACGTCCATGTCCAGGTCCACGTCCACGTCCACGTCCACGTCCACATCTACGTCCACGTCCACGTCCACGTCCATGTCCACGTCCACGTCCACGTCCACGTCCACGTCTCGTCCACGTCCAAGTCCACGTCCACGTCCAAGTCCACGTCCAGGTCCACGTCCATGTCCACGTCCACGTCCACGTCCACGTCCACGTCCACGTCCACGTCCATGTCCACGTCCACGTCCATGTCCACGTCCATGTCCACGTCCATGTCCACGTCCACGTCCACGTCCACGTCCACGTCCATGTCCACGTCCATGTCCAAGTCCACGTCCACGTCCACGTCCACGTCCATGTCCACGTCCACGTCCACGTCTACGTCCATGTCCACGTCCATGTCCACGTCCACGTCCAAGTCCACGTCCATGTCCACGTCCACGTCTACATCCACGTTTACGTCCACGTCTACGTCCACGTTCATGTCCACGTCCACGTCCATGTCCATTTCTACGTCCACGTCCATGTCCACGTCCACGTCCATGTCCATGTCCACGTCCACGTCCATGTGCACGTCCACGTCCACGTCCATTTCTACGTCCTTGTCCATGTCCACGTCCACCTCCACGTCCACGTCCACGTCCATTTCCAGGTCCACGTCCACGTCCACGTCCACGTCCACGTCCAGGTCCACGTCCACGTCCACGTCCACGTCCACGTCCTCGTCCACGTCCACGTCCACGTCCACGTCCACGTCCACGTCCACGTCCTCGTCCTCGTCCACGTCCACGTCCACGTCCACGTCCACGTCCATGTCCTCCACGTCCACGTCCACGTCCAGGTCCACGTCCACGTGCACGTCAACGTCCAGGTCCACATCCACGTCCACGTCCACGTCCACCTCCACGTGCACGTCCACGTCCAGGTCCACGTCCACGTCCACGTCCACGTCCACCTCCACGTGCACGTCCACGTCCAGGTCCACGTCCACGTCCACGTCCACGTCCACGTCCAGGTCCACGTCCACGTCCACGTCCACGTCCACGTCCACGTCCACGTCCATGTCCACGTCCACGTCCACGTCCACGTCAACGTCCACGTCCACGTCCACGTCCATGTCCTCCACGTCCACGTCCATGTCCACGTCCACGTGCACGTCAATGTCCAGGTCCAGGTCCAGGTCCACGTCCACGTCCACGTCCACGTCCACGTCCACGTCCATTTCTACGTCCACGTCCACGTCCACGTCCACGTCCATGTCCTCCACGTCCACGTCCACGTCCTCGTCCAGATCCACGTCAACGTCCAGGTCCACGTCCACGTCGACGTCCACGTCCACGTCCACGTCCGCGTCAACGTCCACGTCCACGTCCACGTCCATTTCTACGTCCACGTCCACGTCCACGTCCACGTCCATGTCCTCCACGTCCACCTCCACGTCCAGGTCCACGTGCCATCGACGTCCAGGTCCACGTCCACGTCCACGTCCACGTCCATGTCCACGTCCACGTCCACGTCCTCCATGTCCACGTCCACGTCCACGCGCACGTCAACGTCCAGGTCCACGTCCACGTCAACGTCCAGGTCCACGTCCACGTCCACCTCCATTTCTACGTCCACGTCCACGTCCACGTCCACGTCCACGTCCACGTCCACGTCCTCCTCCTCGTCCACGTCCACGTCCACGTCCACGTCCACGTCCACGTCCACGTCCACGTCAAGTCCACGTCCACGTCCACGTCCACGTCCATGTCCTCCACGTCCACGTCCACGTCCACGTCCACGTCCACGTCCTCCTCCTCGTCCACGTCCTCCTCCTCGTCCACGGACCTGGACGTCGATGGCACGTGGACGTGGACGTGGACGTGGAGGACATGGACGTGAACGTGGACGTGGACGTGGACGTGGACGTGGAAATGGACGTGGACGTGGACGTGGACATGGACGTGGACGTGGACGTGGACGTAGAGGTGGACGTGGACGTGGACGTGGACGTGGACGACGTGGACATGGACGTGGACGTCGACTAACGTGGACATGGACCTGGACGTGGACGTGGACGTGGACTTGGACGTGGACGTGGACGTGGACGTGGACGTGGACATGGACGTGGACGTGGACGTGGACGTGGACGTGGACGTGGACGTGGACGTGTACGTGGACGTGGACATGGACGTGGACGTGGACATGTACGTGAACATGGACGTGGACGTGGACGTGGACGTGGACGTGGACGTGGACGTGGACATGGGCGTGGACGTGGACGCGGACGTGGACGTGGACGTGGACGTGGTCGTGGACGTGGACGTGGACATGGACGTGGACGTGGACGTGGAGATGGGCGTGGACGTGGACGTGGACGTGGACGTGGTCGTGGACGTGGATGTGGACGTGGACGTGGACGTGGACATGGGCGTGGACATGGACGTGGACGTGGACGTGGACGTGGTCGTGGACGTGGATGTGGACGTGGACGTGGACGTGGACATGGACATGGACGTGGACGTGGACATGGACGTGGACGTGGACGTGGACTTGGACGTGGACATGGACGTGGACGTGGACGTGGACATGGACGTGGACATGGTCGCATGCTTGAGTCCGGTCGCATGCTTGTGTCCGGTCGCATGCTTTTGTCCGGACGCATGCTTGTGTCCGGGCGCATGCTTGTGTCCGGACGCATGCTTCTGTCCGGACGCATGCTTGTGTCCGGACGCATGCTTGTGTCCGGACGCATGCTTGTGCCCGGTCGCATGCTTGTGTCCGGACGCATGCTTGTGTCCGGACGCATGCTTGTGTCCGGACGCATGCTTGTGTCCGGACGCATGCTTGTGTCCGGACGCATGCTTGTGTCCGGACGCATGCTTGTGTCCGGACGCATGCTTGTGTCCGGACGCATGCTTGTGTCCGGACGCATGCTTGTGTCCGGACGCATGCTTGGGTCCGGATGCATGCTTGTGTCCGGACGCATGCTTGTGTCCGGACGCATGCTTGTGTCCGGTCGCATGCTTGTGTCCGGACGCATGCTTGTGTCCGGACGCATGCTTGTGTCCGGATGCATGCTTGTGTCCGGACGCATGCTTTTGTCCGTACGCATGCTTGTGTCCGGACGCATGCTTGTGTCCGGACGCATGCTTGTGTCCGAACGCATGCTTGGGTCCGGATGCATGCTTGTGTCCGGACGCATGCTTGTGTCCGGACGCATGCTTGGGTCCGGGCGCAATGCTTGGGTCCGGACGCATGCTTGTGTCCGGACGCATGCTTGTGTCCGAACGCATGCTTGTGTCCGGACGCATGCTTGTGTCCGGACGCATGCTTGAGTCCGGTCGCATGCTTGTGTCCGGACGCATGCTTGTGTCCGGACGCATGCTTGTGTACGGACGCATGCTTGTGTTCGGACGCATGCTTGTGTCCGGACGCATGCTTGAGTCCGGTCGCATGCTTGTGTCCGGACGCATGCTTGAGTCCGGACGCATGCTTGTGTCCGGAAGCATGCTTGAGTCCGGACGCATGCTTGTGTCCGGACGCATGCTTGTGTCCGGACGCATGCTTGTGTCCGGACGCATGCTTGTGTCCGGACGCATGCTTGTGTCCGGACGCATGCTTGTGTCCTGACGCATGCTTGTGTCCGGACGCATGCTTGTGTCCGGACGCATGCTTGTGTCCGGACGCATGCTTGTGTCCGGACGCATGCTTGGGTCCGGATGCATGCTCGTGTCCGGACGCATGCTTGTGTCCGGACGCATGCTTGTGTCCGGTCCGCATGCTTGTGTCCGGACGCATGCTTGTGTCCGGACGCATGCTTGTGTCCGGATGCATGCTTGTGTCCGGACGCATGCTTTTGTCCGTACGCATGCTTGTGTCCGGACGCATGCTTGTGTCCGGACGCATGCTTGTGTCCGAACGCATGCTTGGGTCCGGATGCATGCTTGTGTCCGGACGCATGCTTGTGTCCGGACGCATGCTTGGGTCCGGGCGCATGCTTGGGTCCGGACGCATGCTTGTGTCCGGACGCATGCTTGTGTCCGAACGCATGCTTGTGTCCGGACGCATGCTTGTGTCCGGACGCATGCTTGAGTCCGGTCGCATGCTTGTGTCCGGACGCATGCTTGTGTCCGGACGCATGCTTGTGTACGGACGCATGCTTGTGTTCGGACGCATGCTTGTGTCCGGACGCATGCTTGAGTCCGGTCGCATGCTTGTGTCCGGACGCATGCTTGAGTCCGGACGCATGCTTGTGTCCGGAAGCATGCTTGAGTCCGGTCGCATGCTTGTGTCCGGACGCATGCTTGTGTCCGGACGCATGCTTGTGTCCGGACGCATGCTTGTGTCCGGACGCATGCTTGTGTCCGGACGCATGCTTGTGTCCGAACGCATGCTTGTGTCCGGTCGCATGCTTGTGTCCGACCGCATGCTTGAGTCCGGTCGCATGCTTGTGTCCGGACGCATGCTTGTGTCCGGACGCATGCTTGTGTCCAGACGCATGCTTGTGTCCGGACGCATTCTTGTGTCCGGTCGCATGCTTGTGTCCGGACGCATGCTTGTGTCCGGACGCATGCTTGTGTCCGGACGCATGCTTGTGTCCGGACGCATGCTTGAGTCCGGTCGCATGCTTGTGTCCGGACGCATGCTTGTGTCCGGACGCATGCTTGTGTCCGGACGCATGCTTGTGCCCGGTCGCATGCTTGTGTCCGAACGCATGCTTGTGTCCGGACGCATGCTTGTGTCCGGACGCATGCTTGTGTCCGTACGCATGCTTGTGTCCGGACGCATGCTTGTGTCCGGACGCATGCTTGTGTCCGGACGCATGCTTGAGTCCGGTCGCATGCTTGTGTCCGGATGCATGCTTGTGTCCGGTCGCATGCTTGTGTCCGGACGCATGCTTGTGTCCGGACGCATGCTTGTGTCCGGACGCATGCTTGTGTCCGGACGCATGCTTGTGTCCGGACGCATGCTTGTGTCCGGACGAATGCTTGTGTCCGGACGCATGCTTGTGTCTGGACGCATGCTTGTGTCCGGACGCATGCTTGAGTCTGGTCGCATGCTTGTGTCCGGACGCATGCTTGTGTCCGGACGCATGCTTGTGTCTGGACGCATGCTTGTGCCCGGTCGCATGCTTGTGTCCGGACGCATGCTTGTGTACGGACGCATGCTTGTGTCCGGACGCATGCTTGTGTCCGGACGCATGCTTGTGTCCGAACGCATGCTTGTGTCTGGACGCATGCTTGAGTCCGGTCGCATGCTTGTGTCCGGACGCATGCTTGTGTCCGGACGCATGCTTGTGTCCGGACGCATGCTTGTGTCCGGACGCATGCTTGAGTCCGGTCGCATGCTTGTGTCCGGACGCATGCTTGTGTCCGGACGCATGCTTGTGTCCGGACGCATGCTTGTGTCCGGACGCATGCTTGTGTCCGGACGCATGCTTGTGTCCGGACGCATGCTTGTGTCTGGACGCATGCTTGTGTCTGGACGCATGCTTGAGTCCGGTCGCATGCTTGTGTCCGGACGCATGCTTGTGTCCGGACGCATGCTTGTGTCCGGACGCATGCTTGTGTCCGGACGCATGCTTGTGTCCGGTCCCATGCTTGTGTACGGACGCATGCTTGTGTCCGGACGCATGCTTGTGCCCGGTCGCATGCTTGTGTCCGGTCGCATGCCTGTGTCCGGACGCATGCTTGTGTTCGGACGCATGCTTGTGTCCGGACGCATGCTTGTGTCCAAACGCATGCTTGTGTCCGGACGCATGCTTGTGTCCGGACGCATGCTTGAGTCCGGTCGCATGCTTGTGTCCAGACGCATGCTTGTGTCCGGTCGCATGCTTTTGTCCGACCGCATGCTTGAGTCCGGTCGCATGCTTGTGTCCGGACGCATGCTTGTGTCCGGACGCATGCTTGTGTCCGGTCGCATGCTTGTGTCCGGACGCATGCTTGAGTCCGGTCGCATGCTTCTGTCCGGACGCATGCTTGTGTCTGGACGCATGCTTGAGTCCGGTCGCATGCTCGTGTCCGGACGCATGCTCGTGTCCGGACGCATGCTTGTGTCCGGATGCATGCTTGTGTCTGGACGCATGCTTGAGTCCGGTCGCATGCTTGTGTCCGGACGCATGCTTGTGTACGGACGCATGCTTGAGTCCAGTCGCATGCTTGTGTCCAGACGCATGCTTGTGTCCGGACGCATGCTTGAGTCCGGTCGCATGCTTGTGTCCGGACGCATGCTTGTGTCCGGACGCATGCTTGTGTCCGGACGCATGCTTGAGTCCGGTCGCATGCTTGCGTCCGGACGCATGCTTGCGTCCGGACGCATGCTTGTGTCCGAACGCATGTTTGTGTCCGGACGCATGCTTGTGTCCAGACGCATGCTTGAGTCCGGTCGCATGCTTGTGTCCGGACGCATGCTTGTTTCCGGACGCATGCTTGTGTACGGACGCATGCTTGTGTCCGGACGCATGCTTGTGTCCGGACGCATGCTTGAGTCCGGTCGTATGCTTGTGTCCGGACGCATGCTTGAGTCCGGACGCATGCTTGTGTCCGGAAGCATGCTTGAGTCCGGTTGCATGCTTGTGTCCGGACGCATGCTTGTGTCCGGACGCATGCTTGTGTCCGGACGCATGCTTGAGTACGGTCGCATGCTCGTGTCCGGACGCATGCTTGTGTCCGGACGCATGCTTTTGTCCGGACGCATGCTTGTGTCCGGACGCATGCTTGTGTCCGGACGCATGCTTGTGTCCGGACGCATGCTTGTGTCTGGACGCATGCTTGAGTCCGGTCGCATGCTTGTGTCCGGACGCATGCTTGTGGCCGGTCGCATGCTTGTGTCCGGACGCATGCTTGTGTCCGGACGCATGCTTGAGTCCGGTCGCATGCTTGTGTCCGGACGCATGCTTGTGTCCGGAAGCATGCTTGTGTCCGGACGCATGCTTGTGCCCGGTCGCATGCTTGTGTCCGGACGCGTGCTTGTGTCCGGACGCATGCTTGTGTCCCGACGCATGCTTGTGTCCGGACGCATGCTTGTGTCCGGACGCATGCTTGTGTCCGGACGCATGCTTGTGTCCGGACGCATGCTTGAGTCCGGTCGCATGCTTGTGTGCGGACGCATGCTTGTGTCCGGTTGCATGCTTGTGTCCGGACGCATGCTTGTGTCCGGAAGCATGCTTGTGTCCGGACGCATGCTTGTGTCCGGACGCATGCTTGAGTCCGGTCGCATGCTTGTGTCCGGACGCATGCTTGTGTCCGGACGCATGCTTGTGTCCGGACGCATGCTTGTGCCCGGTCGCATGCTTGTGTCCGGACGCATGCTTGTGTCCGGACGCATGCTTGTGTCCGGACGCATGCTTGTGTCCGGACGCATGCTTGAGTCCGGTCGCATGCTTGTGTCCGGACGCATGCTTGTGTCCGGACGCATGCTTGTGTCCGTACGCATGCTTGTGTCCGGACGCATGCTTGTGTCCGGTCGCATGCTTGTGTCCGGACGCATGCTTGTGTCCGTACGCATGCTTGTGTTTGGACGCATGCTTGTGTCCGGTCGCATGCTTGTGTCCGGACGCATGCTTGTGTCCGGACGCATGCTTGTGTCCGGACGCATGCTTGTGTCCGGACGCATGCTTGTGTCCGGACGCATGCTTGTGTCCGGACGCATGCTTGTGTCCGGACGCATGCTTGAGTCCGGTCGCATGCTTGTGTCCGGACGCATGCTTGTGTCCGGTCGCATGCTTGTGTCCGGACGCATGCTTGTGTCCGGACGCATGCTTGTGTCCGGACGCATGCTTGTGTCCGGACGCATGCTTGTGTCCGGTCGCATGCTTGTGTCCGGACGCATGCTTGTGTCCGGACGCATGCTTGTGTCCGGACGCATGCTTGTGTCCGGTCGCATGCTTGTGTCCGGACGCATGCTTGTGTCCGGACGCATGCTTGTGTCCGGACGCATGCTTGTGTCCGGACGCATGCTTGTGTCCGGTCGCATGCTTGTGTCCGGACGCATGCTTGTGTCCGGTCGCATGCTTGTGTCCGGACGCATGCTTGTGTCCGGACGCATGCTTGTGTCCGGACGCATGCTTGTGTCCGGACGCATGCTTGTGTCCGGTCGCATGCTTGTGTCCGGACGCATGCTTGTGTCCGGACGCATGCTTGTGTCCGGACGCATGCTTGTGTCCGGTCGCATGCTTGTGTCCGGACGCATGCTTGTGTCCGGACGCATGCTTGTGTCCGGACGCATGCTTGTGTCCGGACGCATGCTTGTGTCCGGACGCATGCTTGTGTCCGGACGCATGCTTGTGTCCGGACGCATGCTTGTGTCCGGTCGCATGCTTGTGTCCGGACGCATGCTTGTGTCCGGTCGCATGCTTGTGTCCGGACGCATGCTTGTGTCCGGACGCATGCTTGTGTCCGGACGCATGCTTGTGTCCGGACGCATGCTTGTGTCCGGTCGCATGCTTGTGTCCGGACGCATGCTTGTGTCCGGACGCATGCTTGTGTCCGGACGCATGCTTGTGTCCGGTCGCATG